ACGTTATCATTGAAAGCCAAGTCGCTAAAAAAAGCACATTATTGTGAAAAAATTTAAACCCGATCTCATTTTAGTCTAATAATCATCAAAGGTCATTTCGAGTTGAAATGGAACTTACCCAGATGCAAATTAGTCAATCAAATCAATGCTAGACAACATGGGAAAATAATTCTATTAGTTCTCATGAACAAAACTTTGTTGAAAGATTTTGGGAGCAAAGGTTATATATAATACTTACTTGCCATGATAAACTTTGATATCCTTGTATTTTTCCAAAAATTTTGTCTTTGTTCCCAAAGGTTCAACTTTTTTTAGAATATGGATAACACGTAGCATATATTTGAATTCTTCAACCCATTTTTGTTGACTGTACATGATTTCTTTGTTTCTGAATTCTTCATTCTTCAACAACTTTTTTTGTGGCTGCACATGATTTCTTTGTTTCTGAATTCTTCAACACTTTTTGTGATTGCACATTCAACACTTTTTTGTGACTGCACATGATTTCTTTGTTTCGCGTTCAATTAACGAAATTTCAGCCGAAATATTTTCGGCCCGAGTTATGTAGATCACTTTGCAATCAGTTTTAAAGAAAAAACGGTTAGAAAGTATTAATTAATGACTGCAGAGAAAAAAAAATGTATACTAAATCTTTTAATTCGTGAAAATTATTGTCTGAATCATAATTATAAAATTATTATCAATTATACTTACTTTAAAAACGGGTTGAACCAAAATTATTCACCAAAAATTTAAAGAACAAAATAACATATCATGAACTAGTGTTTTAACCTAAATCTATCTTCCTGTCTCTAATAAATAATTGAATTCAATGCTGCTAAATAAAAAAAATAATGGATGAATATTAAGTATTGTCAGGAATATTTTTAGCTTATTGTGGAAAAGTGACCTTTTTTCCTGCCCTCCATTTTTAAAGGTTCCTTTTTTTTTTTAAAAAAAAAAAAAAAAAAAAAAAAAAAAAAGAACCTCCGATTTTGCATTTTCGAATGAATACTCTAAAATTCCGTAACATCCCGTAATGATAAGGAAGAATATTAGATAATTTAATTTATTTTATATACAAATATACAATAGTATACAATATAATTAAATACATTTATTTAAATACAGAATGAATAAGGAATTGAATTATTGGTTCTGTACACAATCGAATTGTAATTAAAACCGGGTCTAAATCCGAATAGGTTTTTATTTTGGGGAGACCAAAACTAATAAAACCGGTTTTATGCACGCCAACATTATTAATCTAAATTTTTAGCCCCTTGTTTACCAAATTGATTTTGGATCAACCGGTATCATCAAACCGGTCAGGAGTAAATGAAACCGAATCCAACTCATTGACCCAAATGAAACAGCAAAAGACTATCGTTCCAGGATCTCATTCATAGGATTTTTAACAAAATTGATTGTTCAAATACGAAGAATTTCAAAGAAACAATTGTCAAAAAGTTTTGTTTCAATTCTAATACGTTTTATTCACTCAAATTCTTTCATCTTTTAGAATAGAACTGTAAGAGAATAATAATAATAATAAAAAGAAAGAAAAGGAGATAACAAAGATAACAAAATGTATATTTTTATTTTGTTCATTTATTTAAAAATAACTTTAATTTTTTATTTTTGTAAAAAAAAAAAGAAATTTTTATATAATGATGATTATAATGATATTAGTATGTATAAATTATGTTTAAGTTACATTGATTAATTAAATTAAACACGATTTTATTATTGCATTCTTATTTATTTATTATGTATTAAATCAAAATTAAAAAAAAAAAAAGAAAGTTAAATTTAAAATCTAAATCATCCAAAGTTGGTTTGGTGTTTCTTATAATGTAAATTGTATTCTGTTATAAAAATTCCCACAAAGAGATCATGAACTTTGGTATCACATGGTCAATTAGCAAATTTATTTATTTTAGTTTTTTTTATTTCCGGAAATCTTTATCGGATGTAGGATTATCCGAGATCTTTTACGGGATTTCCACGCCATTCAAATTACATTCATACTGTCATTTTTTGATTCTATTGAAAATACATAATTATAATATCTAGTCTATTCATAATACTAAATTCGAATTTTTCGTAATACCTTACGAATTTTTTTTGATTGTTTAATTGTTTCCAAATAAAACTTTGATTAAAGATGATGTGTTGCATATTCGATAAAATATTATTATTATTATTATTATTATTTTTTAAGTTTTATTTTTTTTTTTTTTATAATTCCTGTAACACAACTAATTAATATTATTTGTGATATGATCAAATTCAAAATCTTGTTCGATTAAAAAGTCTAATTGATCGATCAATCATAATTAAGTATTTCGTGATTTTAGAATAAACATTAAACAATAATAATTATAAATATATTGCTATATTTTAATTTCCTTTTTATTTTTTCATATGCTTTAAATAATAATTGATTACAATATCATATAATATTGTTCAAATCAAGTAATTACTTATTTAAGTTTTATGTTAAACGTGAAATTCCGGACGGATGAAAAGATTTTGATTTGTGACAAATCTACAAAAGGACTTTCTTTTTTTTTTTGTTCGTTTCAACGGTGCTTCCGTGGAAGATCCGGATCGACTAAAAAGAAGAGTTGTTAATGGCTTGTTCTAATACTATTATGTACAATCATTTACATTAATGCGGCGTGATGAACTTAATCTTTGAATCCGCATTAAGAGAACAACAAAAAATGTTCGTGCCATTTGATAACTTGATGACACATACACAAAATACTTTTTTAATTTTTTGCATTCATTCTATAAACAAAGAAAATCTTAAAATGATTCGTTCAAAAGATTTATTTTTACATGTACGAACTTTTTTTTTTTCTCAAAGTTATACAAAGTTATACAAAGTTATACAAAGTATACTAACAACAACCCCAAAAAAAAGGAATCCGAAACAAATTAATTAAATCATTTTTTTTCATACATAATGCCACAAACAATAAACAAATAAATATTCCGTGTTTGCTATTTTTATAACAAGAGATTAAAAGAGTCTCAAAGTCAGATATTATTTCCCTTAATTGGTTTCTTTAAAATAAAAAAAAATTTTTTTTTTTTTCATTTATTAAAAAAAAAAATAAAAATAAAAATACCGTGAGTATAATACGTGAGAAACTTAATTTTCTCACTCCTAACTCTGTCTCTTATACACATCTAGATGTGTATAAGAGACAGTAAAAATACCGTGAGTATAATACGTGAGAAACTTAATTTTCTCACTCCTAACTTGTCTATAATTTAAATAATTTAATAATAATAATAATAAATAATATTAATAATAATAATAATAATAATAATAATAAAAAACAACAATAATAATTTATTACTTTACTCATAAGTTATAAAAAAATGTCATAAAAATATTTTTTCTTTTTGAAACATGTATTAAATGCATTGAGTAGTATACAAAAAAAAAATGACAGATTTTTAACTTTGAAAAAAAAAAGTCTTTTTTCTTTTTTGCTTGTATCCGAAATAACGTCATGAACGTCATGGGGCGAAATTTTTTTATTTTTTGGGATTTTAATCAATATACTTGATTTAGTTAAATACTCCTGCAGTATTACTGTTATCATTCTAGTTCATTCATCAAAATAAGAATTCAATTACTTTTTTAATTGATGAAATTTACGTGATCCAATAAAATTAGAGATATTATGAAATTTATAAAAATTGTAACAGATCAAAAATCTAACTTTATTTGGATTAATTAATTACTTTAACTGTATGTACAATGCTTGACGACGTGTATTTATTGTCTATTTTTAGCATTGTGCAGCACCCAGAAATTCGGTACATATTTCCTGGTAAGTTCATAAGTTCATATATGGTTAGTCCAAATTTTAATTATTTTTCCAATTTCTCACCTTTCTTACATTTATTTTCCAGTAAAATAATAAAAAATAAAAAAAAAATTAAAAATTAAAAATAAAAAAAAAAGTCTATTGTTATAATCTCCTAAATTGTTATTATTCCTAAATTAATCTATTTCTTTCAAAAAATTGTTAAAATTAACAAATAAAGAAAAATAAAATAAAATAAAATAAAATAAAAAAAATTCAAAGATAAAAAAATCTCAAACATCTAATTTTTTTTTCGTAACTATTTCGGGAAATAAATATTACGTATGTGAAACTTTTCACTCTAATTTGGCAATTTATTTTTAACAAACATGTTGATAACGTAATACAGGGGTGAAAAATGGATACCGTTTAATTCTTTTTTTTATTTTGAAGTCGTGAAAAAAAAAAAAAATATTCTTTTCATTATGTTTGAAAAAGTTTT